GATCAGCCCAAGGGCCATAGTTGACTGTCCCACCTTTGACTGACAAGGACATTCCCCACGCTGGAGGCTCAGTTCCGTTAATGCTGGCGTGGAAGCTCGAGCTGCTGTGTCTGCGAGCGTTGGCGGTGATTTTGGATACAGAGTCCCAATAAACCGTGAGCGCGGCTGAAGGAGAGTCAAGAATTGTATTGACAGCACCATATTCGACAGAAGACCACCTTGCCTTGTCATCTTGATACCTATCATCCAGATACCTTGATAGGCCTTGCCAATGACCTGAGCCAGGTATTTGAGACACACCCGTGCTCATTGCGGCTCTTGAATCGGCGGAAAAGGATTCTACAGAGCGACGCAGATATGGTACCATGTTTCGAAGGGAGTTGAAGACTTTCCGACGGCGATTTCGGAAGAAGGATCGTTGTGCAGGTGTTTCCAAGCTCGAGGTGTCCTCTCGTCGCCTGGTTGCTCGGGCCACCTGGTCCTCTTTGAATTCGTCGTTCTCACGCATTTCGATGACGGGGTGATCAAATTCTATTTTGAACAGTTGACGGTACGGATCAACTGTATTCGTAGGCCCTGCGTCTACGATTGTCGAAGCCGAGTTCGCCTTGACGATTAGAATTGCCTTGGTATTGTCATTGCCAACTACCACGGCAGGTTTCTGAAATTCCACGTGTATCGGGAGCAGCTGAAGCATTGCTGGCAGAGAATGGCTGGCGTCATTACCGTCTGCGGTCTCACTGAGGCTCTGGGAAGCGGTAGACGAGCGCTCCGGGGGCGAGGATGGAGGAGGCTGGCTGGGTTTCTCCGAAAGCTGTGCCTGGGCTGTTGCATCGACCGCGAGCTTATTCTTTTCTGCGGAACCATTTTGGTAGCCCCTTCGAGACGCAAGACCAGCCTCTTGCGTTGCGTTGGAAATGCCGCTGGATTTCGAGGCGGAAGGGTCGTCACTGAGCAAGCCATTAAGAAGGTCATTGTATGCCGGGCTCCGGTTGTACACAAACCACTCTACACCGACCAGCCTGGCATGGATGCGACACGGCAAATTGGAATTCTTTTGGCTGTCCGATACCGAAGAACTATGGGAACAATTCGATACGTTTATGTCGGCGTCTCGTACTCGGCGTAGCCAATATCGCCAGGTGATGTCTCCGTGCTGGACGAGGAAGGTTTCGTTGGAGCCGTGGTAGCGTAAGCCGGTGAAGAATATGCGGCCCGCGAGAAGAGAGATTTGGATGGCTTTGACGTCAATGTAGACTCTGTATCTGTGCCATGTATATGTACGAATGGCATACGACACGACGGAGGCAAAGAGTCGGTTGAAGTACAGCAGGAAGAAGACGGTTAGCAGCCCGCAAATGATGAAGAAGACGAGAAACTCGCTGGAAAGGGGGCGACTGGTTAGTTATGCAGTTTTTCGTGAAAGTCAAAGGACGTATTAGCTCAGCGTACAAATTGAAGCCCAGGCGAGCGTCTCGAGCCTCCAGGATCACGTCGACGGCTGTCATTGTCTCGAGTTGGAGGTCGCCTTGACAGCCCTCGTGGCCGGTCTGAACTCAACAACCATATCCAGAGAGAACAGCAGGGGCAGCGACGCGCATTGGACGAGCACTTGAGGGCCGATGGTTGGAAGCCCCGTCGCGACAGGTAATTGGGACCTATTGCTTCCTGGTGGACGCATTTAATGTTTAATGTTCTAAAGTTGGGACATGGCGCAATAAGGACTGGTCGAAGTCGTGGAGCTCTGAATGCATGTTGCATGTGCCTAATCTGCCTGGCAGCTTGTCCGTCCCGGTGGGTCCGGTCCAGATGTTTTCGCAGGGCACCCAACACTGGACTAGTACATAGTACATTGAACGTCAATACCAGACTACGGTGGTCCGCGAGTAATGCGTACATGTATTCCGTCAATACTTATGCACTACGGGACTGGACGCTAATGGGCCATTTAGCGGCCCGCGCAGGTCAACAGAGGACATGGAGCCCCATCTCGCTATGCCGGACTGTGACAGCTTGATTGACAGTGCTGCCACATTTGCCAGAATTCGTCACTCACAGCCAACCAGCGCGAAGCCAATGCTCCCGTGCCATCCACCAACTTATGCACGTCTACGTCGTCACACACGCGGCTTCGCAGCTTCGTCCTCTCAGGTGCTCCTTTGTCCATCGTCGCCATTACCGCCCTCCGTACTCGAACCGCCGTCATCGCGCCAGTCGACCAGTATCGGTTGCTTGCTCCGGACTATTTCCCCGCGCCATCAGCCCTCGATGGTCACAGTGCTTGCTCATCAGCCTCGACGTCTCTGACTTTCTTTCCTTGCCCAGTCATGACCTAGCTTTTCTGCGGCTTCACAAGCTTCGTCTCGGCAGCCGTTTTCGTTGCCGTCATGTCTGTTACTACCGCTAGCATCGCCTCTGATGGAGGCACAGGGGCAAAATTTACCTATGCTACCACGGTGGTCGCTGGCGTTGCCTCGTTTGCAGCAACACTACTCTCCGTCGTGTAGGTTTTGTCCCAGATGATGCAAGAACGCATACATGCCGTGTCAAGCTGACAGTCCTGCTCCCTTAGCTCGATATGGCTTCAGACGAAAAACTACCGGAAGCCCCTGCTTCAGCGCTACGTTGTTCGAATCCTGCTCATGGTTCCCATCTATTCGATTGCGTCCTTCACAAGCATGGTGTCGCTTACCGCGGCTGCTTTTATCGACCCTGTTCGAGACATATACGAAGCCTTCACCATTTACACCTTCTTCCAGCTCCTCATCAACTACCTGGGCGGAGAAAGAGCCTTGATTATCATGGCGCATGGTCGTGCCCCCGTCGAGCACCTCTGGCCGATGAACCACATTCTACGCAAAGTTGACATATCGGATCCGCATACATTTCTGTCCATCAAGCGGGGGATCCTCCAATATGCGTGGCTCAAGCCCATACTAGCCATTGCTGCCATCGTCATGAAAGCCACGGGCACGTATCAAGAGGGATACATTGGCGCCAAGTCGGGCTACTTTTGGAGCGGAATCATTTACAATATCAGCGTGACTGTGAGCTTGTACTCGCTTGGTTTATTCTGGGTCTGCATGCACCGCGACTTGACGCCGTTCCGCCCTGTCCCAAAATTCCTCTGCATCAAACTTATCATTTTTGCGTCCTACTGGCAAGGCTTCTTCTTGTCCATTCTCGTTTGGCTCGGCGCCATTCCAGACAACGTCCAGGGGTATACGAGGGACAATCTTGCCGCTGCCATCCAAGATGCATTGATTTGCGTGGAGATGCCGGCGTTTGCAGTTGCCCACTGGTACGCCTTCTCATGGCATGACTTCGCCGATAACAGTATTCTATCTGCGCGCATGCCCTTGCACCACGCGCTCAAGGACTCCTTTGGCGTCAAGGATCTCATCGAGGACTCCAAGGAGACATTCCGGGGCAACAACTACGGCTACCGGGCATTCGACTCTGGAGACAAGGTCATGGCCCATGAAGACTCCCAGTCACGCCTCGCAAGGATCAACGCGGGCATGAGATATGAGCGTGGAGGGAAAGCAAAATACTGGTTGCCCAAACCAGGCGAAGTCAGCGCTACCTCTCCACTGCTCGGCGGGCCCAGTTCAAGTAGAACTGGCGATACATTATTTGAACAGCAGCATGGGACCTTTGATGAACCCGAGTTGGATGAGGATGAAGAGCGCTTGTATAATTCTGCAAGACAGTTGAAATACGGCGATTGGAATGTGCGTCCATGCTTCATTCTCACATGGTGTAGCAAACTAATAAATTCCAGTACCCCGTCATCACAGCCAGCGAGCCACTGGCTGAGCGATACCGATCGTCGATGAGCAGCCACAACGGCACACCGCCAGCCTGGTCGACCAGGTCAGCGCGACCACCGCCGCCGCAAGCAGCAAACTCGAACTCAGGTTCATCTCGACAATCATCATCCCAGCGAATAGAAGAGCCACAGCCTGTCGTCGTTGTCAAGAAGAAGAAGAAGACGAAGAAAGTAGTGAAGCATCCGGAACCAGATCCAGCAGGCCTGGGTCTCGGAAAAGGCGCCCCTGCTCATTCTCCTGATCCCACAGGCACAACTGACGCAAGCGCAAGTGTGCAGAAACCTGAGCCGGAAGAAGCCGGACAAGGGGGAGATTCAGCAGCCACAGATGAGGGACAGCAAACGAACAGGTACCACGTGGATGGTAGCGACGAGTTTCGCAACGTGTGGGAATAAGCGATCTAGATTGCATCTTGCCTCATGTACATGTTTGGGGTGTATACTAAGATGCTTCTGCATAGCGAGGAGTTTTGATGAATTACTATGATGATTGGTTTCAATTGTGTCAATCGGGCTTGCTTCAACGCCGTGTGTCATCTTCTGTTGTCTGTGCAAATATTTTCTCCAAGAATTCGCGCTGTTCAGCACGCCCCGTTGAGATGGACTCCCGTCTGGGTCAAGAATCCTCACTGCTGCCTGCAAAAGGGAACGCTCCGCAATTGACAGTGCAATCACAGAATAAGTAGTCTGTTGCGCACGCAATTAAATGCGCATTTTTTGTTGACACTAGAATAGGGAACATCAGTACAAGATATTAAAAAGCCTAGACAATTCTGTTAAAGTTTTTTGTCATCTTAATCATACCAGTCAGCCGCTTTTTTGCAAGACCTTGTGACTCGCGGTGTCCCAATCTCTTCTTGACTGGCTTGCTTTTCAGCCACAAAAACAAATGGGTGTTGAGGATGTAAGTTCAAGTGGATGATCTGTTGCAATTGTGGTGTTTGAGGCATAAAATTACTTTTGAAACCTTTGAAGAGCTGAAGGAGCTTCCAATCACGAAAATTGACCAGGAAATTGCAACCCCTCTCGGCTGGTATTATCTGTGTGTATTTATAGGAAGCTTGATAGCTTTGTTCAACTCATTCATAATATCACATTCTGTTTCTCAGCTCTTTGATCCAACTTCGATTTTACAATTGGCATCTGATCTCTCTTGGCTCTCTGCACAATGTTCCAGGTTATTATTGCCCTCTTAGGGACTCTGTTCGTATACTATTTGTCTCGAAAGAGGGGCAAGTCCAACCTCCCACCTGGACCGAGAGGTCTGCCCATCGTTGGCAACATCATGCATCTCCCGCCGAAGGGCATGCCGGAATACCAGCACTGGCTCAAATTTAAAGACATTTACGGCTCCATCAGCTCTGTTACCGTACTTGGTACTACACTTATTATAATCCACGACAGGAAGGCAGCACACGATATTCTGGAGAAGAACTCGTTGAAGACATCAGGGCGACCAAAATTTTATTTCGGAAGTGATTTATGTGGTTACGGAAAGCTCCTTTCGTTCTTGCAATACAACGATACCTTCCGACACCACCGTAAGTTGGTGCATCAACAGCTGGGTACAAAGACAGCGATAGCGCGCTTCCGGGACATTCAAGACGTCGAGTCACGCCGGTTTCTTTTGCGAGTACTGGACGATCCCCTCAAATTGACACAACATATCAAGACGTAAGTGCATTCCCATTTACAATAGATATAGCAACCAAGTCCCACGAAATATTTGCTGATTAAATCCTTAGCGAGGCGGGCGCGATTATTCTACAAATAACCTATGGTTATACTATTAGACCGCGAAGCGCCGACCCATTAGTCCTTTTGATTGAGCGTATGATGAATGAGTTTTCCCTTGCATTTCGTCCTCTAACCTGGGCTGTCGATGTCATACCTATTCTCAAGTATCTTCCAGAAGGTTTACCAGGCACTTCATTCCAAAAGACAGCTCGAAAGTGGAACAAGGTTACTCGCATGGTAATCGAAACTCCCTATGCGTTTGTTCGCCAACAGATGACGAAGGGGGTCCATCGGCCGTCATACGTCGCTTCACTAGTTACACATCATGAAAATGATAGCAGAGGAAATATCAACTGGAAATATGAAGAGAATGCTATCAAGAGGACAGCCGCAATTATGTTTGCAGGTGGGGCTGACACTACTGTGACTTCTATCACCGGCTTTATCCTAGCGATGCTACTTTTCCCAGCAATCCAGAAAAAGGCCAAAGACGAAATTGATCTCATAATTGGGGTTAGCAGGCTACCACAATTGGAAGATAGAGATAAGTTGCCCTATGTCAGTGCTTTAGTAAAGGAAACACTCCGGTGGCTCCCTGTTGCGCCATCAGGAGCAACCCACACAACCGACGAGGCATTCGACTACAATGGATATTATATCCCAAAAGGAGCAAATCTGATGCCTGCGGTATGGTGGTTCTTGCACGATCCACAGACCTACTCAGACCCATCTGCTTTTGATCCTGACAGGTATCTGGAACCCCGCAATGAGCCTGACCCGGCGAGTGAAGCTTTTGGATACGGCCGTAGAATCTGCCCAGGGCGGTACCTGGCTGATGAGAGTCTTTTTTTGACAATCTCACGTTTGTTGGCCGTCTTCGACATCAATAAAGCTGTTGATAAGCGGGGGGAGGAGATTGTTCCCGAGATAAATATCACACCTGGCTTAATCGGTCACCCGCGCGAGTTCCCCTACATCATCAAGCCAAGAAGTGCGAAGCACGTGGATCTGATACGATCCATTGAGGTGGACCATCCATGGGAAGAAGGTGACGCTGGTCTCCTGTCTCCGTCATTGGGACTTGACGAAGAATAAACTAAATCAGCAGGAACTAGAACGAAAGGGTGACTGGGGAGTTGGCGATGTTACAGGTCAAGTTGCATGGCTAAGTGGAAGCAAGGTCAGTGATAATGTGGTCTATTGATGTTGCAGCTACCAGGTGAAGCAGGCAGCAGTGGCCCACATCGTTGCTGCCTGCCACCAAGGCAGCAGCGATGGAGGCACTTACATAGCTTAACAACAACAAGAACAGGACAATCATGAATATACTATCAATTTATGCCAACAAATGAATGCGTATTCAACGCCTTGACCCAACAATCTCCCAGTCACTCCTGGGGAGCTACAACATGTCCATCCTCAATATCAGCCTCTTGGCGGCGGCCACCGATGCCAGCTATTTTGCCTCTCTGCTGCCGGCTAAACTCGTCCACGCCAGCCATCTCGCTGCGCGCCTACCACGACGACTTTTACAACGTCATTGGACAGGAGGCCAGGGCTCGAAAAGTGTGGGATCTGCCCTGGGAAGCACCTGCGGGGAGCGGAGGAATTGCGACAGCGGCGACCCCATAGAAGAAGGCCATGCGAAATAATCGACGGGTTAACGGAGTAAATGACGACCTGGATGCGGAGGACCACGGAGGGTCATGGTTGACGGACGAGAGAAATGCAGAGTACCTCCGAGGAACACAGGACGCCCTGCTCCGGCAGATCGAGCAACGAGCAGACTTGCGACAAGCATTTGTGCGCGATGACCAAGGCAGGACTGGAGGGAAAACACTATGCCGCCAGGCCATGGCTGTTTATATGGAGTCCTGGCTCCTCTGGAACATGATCGGCCTGTATCCCATGACGGGCACGCCCCTGTTCCTCATCGGATCGCCTTGGTTCGCAGACCTGACCATCCACCTCGGCGGCGGCGGCAGCGCGGCGAGGAAGCTCCGCATTACAAGCACCGGCGGGGGGGGGGGGGAGACGCCTTTTACGTGCGCAAGGTGACTCTGAACAGCGCGCCGCATACCCAGAGCTGGGTGGATTGGGGGCAAGTGTTTCGGTCTGGCGGGTTGTTGGAGTTTGAGCTAGGCCCAGAGCCGAGGAATTGGACGACGGGGGATTCGCCGCCGACCATGGGGGAAAGGGATCCTGAAGATGCGAGACTGGCCTTGCGGAGGTGGGTTGGGGGCCAGGCGTAGGAGCATCGATGAGCATTGTGTGAGAGATCCTGGTAGGGGAACGGTTTTAGAAGACATCACAAACGTGGTGGGGGACTGGAGGCAAGACTTATCTCAACTAGATGTATTTGTCCATCGCGCTATACACAGATATGTCGAATATGCTAGGCAAAGTCTTGGGGTGGGCGTAGTACGACTCGGCGACGTGCCTGCTTCGCCGGACGGCCAGGTCCTGGCGGCCCGCGTAGTGGTACAGGTAGGGCGTTGTGAAGCTCGGCTCGTTGCCCGGGTTGAAGATGGTGTTTCCGAACGGCTTGTTGCCCGGGTACGCGCCCGGCTCAAAGGTCTTTTCGAGCCGCTGGACGAAGCGTTCGGGCCCGCCCATGTACTCGGCCACGGTGCGCAGGTCGTGGTGCGCGTTGAAGGAGTATTCCCACGGCAGCGCCTGGTAGTAGGCGTCGCGCCAGTAGCAGCCGCCGCACGAGAGGGGGTCCTGGGGCACGAAGCCGCTGGTGTTGCGGGGGCCGAGGAAGCCTGTGAAGTTGAGGGCCGTCATGTTGGTGTTCCAGTGGTTGCGCCAGTTGCGCGAGCGGTTGAAGTACGTGGCGAAGATGTCCTTGCCGAGGCCGGCGGCCACGACGGCGAGGGAGAAGTCGTTCATCGAACTGGAAGCTTGTTTGTTAGAAAACGACGACGTTTACAAGAGGGGGGTTTGGTAGGATAACTACTATTCGACGGCTCGGCTGACGGATCGTCCAAACCTGGGCGTGATGTAGCCGAGTTGGCTGTAGTCAGGTAGTGCGCCTTTGCCCTCGGCCGTACTGCCGGTTGGATCTCTCGGGTCATGGTTGTTTGGTGGCACGGTGTTTGCGTTCTTGAGGAGTGCCTCGTACGCATCTTCCCAGTTGATGCCGCCGTTGGGCGATGTGCCAGCTACTCCCTTGACGTACGCGTCGGCAAGGACGTTGTCCGCATTGGTGCCGCCTTGCACAGCGCCATTGGAGAAGGATGAGCGGCCGTCTGGAAGCCAGCCCGTGTGGCGATACGTATCAATCAGAGAGCGTATGAATTCCGCGTAGTACTCTTCCTGGAGAACGTGGAAGAGCGCCGTGGTACACCTGTGCTGTTGAACGTGTGAGCGAGTCCACGAGGCGGCAACGATAACCGGGATAACGAGCTCACAGTGTCCCAGAGGGTAAAGATGTCGTCGTAATACGGCTCGCTGCTGTTCCACCCGGGATTCTCACCAGTCTTTCTCGTCGGCAGCAGGTGCATGAAATACATGGCCGTATACAACTGCGTCAGCTTGGTGACGTTGGTGTCCGGGGTGGTGATCCTTCCCAGGACGTTGACGTTCCACTCGTCTCGTGTCTTATTCCGAAGATCCCAGCCGTCTGATTCCTGGGAAATCTCTTCGTCGACATTACCGCACGCTTGGTCCGTGGAGATGAAGGACACGCCGACCCGGGAGACGACGTTGGTGTGGTTGAAAGTGAATAAGGCGCCGAGACGGGCGGTGTCGGACTGGTATGATGCAGATTTATTCGAAAACTCGACAAGATGGTCGGTAGTCTTGTCCTTCCCCAGAAACGTCTTGTATGTGAAAGGACGATTGAAGTGGCCGCAAAAGTAGACGGTCCAGGGAGCAGTTCTGTTCCAACCCTACGATGTGACGGGGTTAGTTACTTGGCGGAAGGATCCTTCACGGATACGTACGTTGTCGTAAGTGCCCCAGCCAATGTATTTCAAGTCTGTATCTCCCTTTTCGGTTGGGACTATGCTGATGTTTCCCGCGACAAAGTGCTGCTCCAGGCCTTGGCCTCTATACGACGACAAGACATGCGATACATCGACGAGCACGTTCTTTGGCGCTGCCGTGTTGGGAAACTCGTACCGGTATAGACCGGCCTTTCTGGACGCATATAGCCCGACGACGGTGCCGGAGCCCAAAGTCGCTTTGTAGTATCCCACTTCGGTGAAGTCCTTCTCGGCGCGTGTATCATTCATGGCGTCGCTCAAGGGATTCGTGACGGCCCCAACAACCGGCATCTGTGACACCACGCCGTATTTCGGCGCGCCGCCCGTGCCACTTTCATGGAGCATACTGAAACCCGTGAAGTTACCGGTGGGCTGGTATCCAGAGTATGAGTCGCTGCCGGTGTATAGATCCGGTCCGAGTTTCACCATGCCGAATGGCCACGAGACTCCTGGGAATGTGTTCCCGCCTCCGGTTGACCCGGTCTGGCGCTTTATTAGACGACAGCCCTCGGATTGTATTTAGGATCGACTTACGTCCGTCAGGACATATTTTGCCAAGTCAGCTGCATCTGCGCCTGTAGTGACTGCATACAACAGCCACCAGATGGTGACCATACTGGATGAAGGCTGGCAACGCCGCGTAACCGATTCCTCTAATAAATGGAAGTGTTGTATTCGATGAATCGAATTCCATTTGCAGGTACACTACTGGGCAAGAAGGGTGTTTGCAATCAAAATACATCTTTGTGTCGTACAGAATATGTCATGGCGCCATTCTACCGCGAAGCAAACCCCGCAATGTACGGGCACAGAAAAGTAGTATTTACTATTTACTTGCTCGGACTAAAACTTGGGACGGCCGACTATCCTTGGCCACTTCGTCAATTGCCGGGATCTTGGTCCTTGATGCGGCCATCAGCACGAATGGTCAGCGCACGTGGGCGCCGGTAATGTCTGGTAGCAAGACAAGAAATAGAAAAAGTTCGGAGAGAAAACAGTCAATTCGACGGTGTGTAAACCACGTGAATAATCAGTTGCGTTGCAATGGGCTCCGAGGGCGGGGGTTACATCGATGTGATGGATGGGGATGCCTTGCAGGTGTGACGAACGAATTCATCCTGAGCGCAACTGGATCGGAGTTTTTCATTCACTTTTTTGTCATTGGAGTCCGATTTCATGGACATATTCGAACTGGACTGATTAACCTTGGCAAAGAAGTTGCTTGTCCGACCACTTTATTTTCGAATACGACAGAAAATGAAGGACTGCCGAGTGTGATATCGTGGAAAGCCAGGGTTGTCATCGACTCAGCAGCGATATTCGGAGGACGCCGATGCCATTGCAAACCGAGCCAAACACTTCGCATCTGTTGAGCGTCTATTCCATACTGCGGTATTTGCTCCGGCGACATGACGAAATACAAGCCGTCTGTATATAGTTGATGGTGTCGGAGAAATGCCATCAACGGACGAATAACGAGATATCGATTCAAAGATGTGTTTTCGCGTGCTAGGTACTTGGTACACGCTCACTTGCCATAGTACCGCGGCTTCTCTGGTACTGGTACCTACCGAAGCAGCGGGGAGAACTGCATAATCTTGGATGAGCTGGCCAATCAAAATACAAAATTCAACTCTGCAACTTGCCTCACTTCTAAAATACGACCTGAGCGAATGGCAACTCCTCAGACCACACTTTTCCAGCAAGTCATCCCAGTGGCGTGAGGGACGAGACATTCATCACATGGAAATCCCATAATGTGAGCTTATCGTTATACCAAATTGAACCAACTTGCCATGGGACGTTTCGGTCCATCATGTAAGGCTCTTCTAGCAAGCCTGCGGACCTCATGCCTGCTTATGTTATCTCATCGTGATGATGATTCTGACCAAGAGTACAGATGCTTCATCATTTCTCAAGTGTGACGAGCCAGCTTGCGCAACATGTACGCGAGCAGTGGCCCGAAGCCACATGCACAACAAACCGTGTGGCTGGCCGACACCTCTACAGGGTTAACGACTGCCGTGCCAGTTGCGAAGAGACAGAAAAGTCTGGCTAATGAGAAAGGCTCTATTGAAGCGGCGCCCGATAAGCAGCGTAAAAGGAAATGGGCTCCCAAGGTAAAGACTGGTTGTACCACATGTAGGTACGTTCAAGTTGCGACTGCAGGACTATGTCCGACCAACATCATCCCACGGTATACTCATCCATCGCGTGGTCAATAACCTGCCTAACACCCTGATAGAAAGCGCCGTGTCAAGTGCGATGAACTAAAGCCCAGTTGCCGTGTATGTGTCTCTGGTGGAAGAAAATGCGAATGGTACTTGCGTCCGGTCCAACTTCCGGAGCTACCCATTTCACTATTGGCTTCGCAACCCTCCCATACAGTCTCGCCTCCCGGCATACAACCAAGTGAGCCGGAGAGATACATGTTCGATCTTCTGCGCAAAAGAACCGTCAAACATGTCTCCGGCATCTTTGAGCAGTCCTTTTGGTCTGTAAACATGCTGCGCGCAGCACAGGTGTATCCCGCAGTCTGGCACGCTTGTCTTTCCTTTGCCGCAGTCCATAAGATAACTACTGCCTTCCAAAGCGACGCGTCCTCGGATCAATCAAAAGCAACCTACGCTTTCGCCTTGAAGCAGTACAATTCGTCCATTCGATACCTTCTTAGAATGATGCCCCACGCCACGCCGACTCCAGAAGATCAGGAAATGGTGCTACTGGTTTGCCTATTGTTCACGGGCCTTAGTAGCCTCCAACGCGATACCAGCCAGGCTGTAGCCCATTCTAGCAACGGCATACAGCTATTTTACCGCTGGAGATACTGGGATCAAGCTTCGCCGTCTGGCCAACGCGCCAACTGTATTCTGCCCAGTGGCGCTATTGTCTCTCTGATTACACATATCGAGGCCTCGTTCAGAAATCGCGCCCTGACGGTCTCGCCATGGAGGGGGATGCACATTCATCAAGGCTGTCTTGGGACTAATTTGCCCACAAAGGCTTTCAACTCAGCCGAGGAAGCCTTTTCTGACTTGGAACCCATGTTGACTGGCATTGTAGAGATAATGCAGCATATTGGACTTGAGTCTGAGGCAACGCAGCCGCATCCGTCGCGAGACGGGCGCTCCTTGTTTCGCCCTAGGTTTGCGGCTTGGAGGACCAAATTTGATCTGCTGCACCAATCTGGAAAGCTTCAGCCACCCGACTCGGGCATCATGCTGCTACTTAAGGCCTTGTCAATAGGGGTTGATGTTTTCCTACAGGTCGATTTCAACAACTTGGAGACTTCATTCGACAAGTTCCACTCGTCATTTGAGTGTCTAGTTGCTCTGATGGAGCAGCTATTCACGGAGGATGCCAAAAGATGCGGCGATCAAGCATCCAATTTTTCCGAACTGTCATTTTCTCTATCAGCATGTGGGCTTCTAACTTTGGTCGCCACCAATTGCCGCGACGGCAAACTGCGTCGTCAAGCAATCGCTCTTCTCCGTAGATTTCCGCGATGCGGAACCACCTGGGATCCTAGGGTCTCAATCCGGGTTGCTGAAACCATAATGGAGTTGGAGGAACAAGGATGCCACCCCGGAAATGAAGATATGAACTGTGCATGCATTCCTGGCGACGTCATATGTGCAGACCATAGAGTTGCTCTATGGAGTGTAGAACTCCTTACTTATAAGGATGCGAGAATACTCATGAGGACTGTACAAGATGTAAGAGAAGGCCGTAGAGAGAGAGCAGTAAAAGTATGGATTCCAGGTTGATGGTCAACACGTCATGCACGACAATCACTTGCGAAGACTGCCTCATCATAATGGGGTTCTGAAGTAAAGCGAAGATGCGATACATGCAACCCAGATGACTGCTCCCCCTAGCATTTCAATATATATCCATGGAAATGAGGCAAGGCATTAGGAGAAATCAATTGCCAGATACTGCCAAGCCGCATAGACCCTAAACGCTGTGTACTCATGCCGTTGCTTAGAGCTGTTTCTAAGTAATCCACACAAAAGATTCACGCAAAAATGATCCACATACACGTAGCGACATGTGCGGCGGAAGTGAGAGATGTCTTAGTAGATGGGGGGCTTGGGAGTTGTCTAATAGCGCAAAGACGATAGTTGTGCAGTTTAAAGCTGTCAAAATAACCCGCAACATGTAACAGAGCTTCAAGAGTCATGTACCGACGCTATAGCTCGTTAATATACATACACATCGCAAAAAAGACCTTATATTTTTACACAATCCCCCCGAGTGGCGAAAGAAAGTAGTAGTAAATAATTTGACCCTAACCCTAACCAACATGCCCAGTGCAATTCTGCGCATCTTGGGAATTGTACCCAATACGCATTATAAAGACATGATTCAAATAGAAGACAGCTTATGAGAATTCTTTACATGTATAATAATAATTATTAGGTATATTGATAAGTCCTCTGCTCTGCTAGTCCTCCAGGGAGTACGGAGTAACTTACAGGTGACGCCAACCCCTCGACAATGGACCCACTTCCGACTGATCTTGACCCAAAATGTGGGCCTGACAGGAAGCAGGCGGTGTGAGAAAATTTGTCGGTCAACCAAGGCAGAATCCGTCCCGCCATCATCCATCACCATTATATCCCACTACTGAACGCGTTCAAATAGTTGCCAATCGACCCATCTGAGAGACATTTTGCCGGAGATACCGACTACCACGTACTAGGAAAGGCGTTTCCGCCGTGAAACTCGCATCCCGGAAGCGTGCGACGGTGGGAAACGCACCCAACAACCCGCAATGGGACGCAGACCGAACCCTCTGATCCTCGAGTACTTCGAGCGCGGGCCCAAGTTGAACGACAACAGCAATCGATACCCTCATACGTGCAAGCAATGTGGAGAGAACTTCCCCAAGGGTCGAATCGACAGTTTAACAACTCATATTACCAAACGATGCCCCGCCATTTCCGACTCGGAACGCATGCGAGCCTGTCTCGAACTCCATGGCATCACACAAGCGAGAACGGCTGCCGAGCGACACCAACAAGTCCAGGCGGCCCAGGCGGCCCAGGCTGCAGCTCAGGCTAATGGACAGCAGATATCTCCGAGTGCGCTGCCTCAGGGATGGAGTGCACTTGAGACTCTGGCAGAGGCTTCGCGCCAGGTAGACCTGAATGAGAACAGCCGCGGAAATAAACCCTCGACGGCGCAGCCACAAGCAAATGGCGTCCAAAATGCGGAGCGATTCGAATTACAGGAACAGTATACTCTCGATAACCCACCTACCAACTATGAAACTACTCGGGCGCAGGCAACCGGGAAGAAGGGTGAGCTTCTACAGCCGGACCTATAGTGCCCAGCTTCAGGGAAATACTAACGTGTACCAGGCACAGCAGCTTTCCAAACACCTCCGCCCACCGCCACAGAACTATCACCAGAAGAGCGGCTCCAGGCCCTTCTGCCAGCGAGCGAATCCTCCCCTGACGCGGCTAACCTCTCTGTCGCGGTGGCCGCTGCTGCTCGTCTCAACCCGTCCTTCCTCGACCCTCAACTCGTCAATGGCGATGCGACCCCTACATCTCCATCTGTTGCGGATAGCGCCGGGGCAGCGGCGGCCGACAGCACTCCTACCACGGCCGTCGATACTACCGCTATTCAACCTTGGGGAGAAATGACCTACTTGACAGTTACATCGCCAGCTCCCATTCTTACAGACAACCCGCCAGTGGCGCCTCTCCCGCTGATTCGAGGCGGTGTTCGCATGGATACAAGTGCAGGCGTACTTAATGGACGATCCCGTAACTTCAGATCAAAGTTTACTGCTGCCAGGCGTCAAGAAGTCAAAGAGGTTCGCAAGGTGGGGGCTTGTATTCGATGCCGTATTCTGCGCAAGATCTGCAGCAAAGGAACGCCGTGTGACACCTGCCGCAAAGTTCTTTCCCCTCGCGTTTGGATGACGGGTTGCGTTCGCTCACGCTTACATGAGCAATTGGATCTGTACTCTGCCGGAGTCCAAGTTGTCTTATCCCAAAACCGCATCAATATGCTCAAGGAGCAACTAAACCTGGTGAATAACGGCGCCGTAGTCGAAGTTTCCCACTTTGCAGAAACCGACAAAAATATTGTTCTAGCCGCGGCCGCGGCCGTAATAGAGCCTATCCAGCAAGAAGGTGTCACGCCCGAGGCCCAGGAATCCCTCCACCAAGTCATCATGATTGATCAAGACAAAGACGACGTGCCCGGAAAAGTAGAAAGCTACGTGCGCGACGTGCTCGACCTCTTCATCGAGCGCGAGCCGTCCAAGTTCATGCGCGTCACCCTCGAAACGGCCAAGTCGCAGCTCGCCATTAAGACGGACGAGCCGCTCAAAAAAGCCCTCGAGCTATGGGGACTCGTGGAAAGCATCGACCGCGAGCGGCAATGGAGCATCGCCGAAAAGCCCAGCGCCGACTCCGAACACGGGCGTCCCATCAAGGAGGCGGAAAACGAAAGCGACGCAGACATCTACACCATGATGTGCATGCAGCTCAACGCCGCGGCGGAGCGCAAGGCAAATAGCACTTCCAAGGCTCTGCTGAACCTCATGGACCGCCAGTTGGCAGACAGCAAAACCAAGGTCGGCTTCAACATTTACCTAGCGGCCTTGATATTCCTCAACTGCGTCGAGAAGTCGACGTGGGCGTTCAAGGCCTGGGAACAAGACCACCTGCGTCCCGGCTGGCCGCTCGAGCGCGACCCAAGCGTCTTCACCCAGCAGGGCGGCAACTTGGCCGGTCTGATCAAGATGCTCCTGGGGATACGCAAGGCGCTTCCGCAGACGTGCCGCGGCGCGGATGGCAAGCTGGCCACGCAGGACCAGGATGCTGTCGTGGTCAAGTATTTCCAGGACCTGGACATGGAGTGTACGCATCCACCGCCCCTCAACTTATTGGCCAACTATTCATTTCAGCTGACTTCTCTTCGTTCTTTGACAGATGACACTATTGAAGCTCGCCAACGCGGCTCGCAGTTCTCCCCTGCAGACTCGCGCTCCCTCGAACTCATGTTCTGCTCGCACTTGCTGCTCCCTAATGCACCAGCGTGACCGGACGAGTTGTAGGCTTTGAAAATCGTACGTGAGATGCATAATGAATGGATGGATAATGTAGAGATACCTTTTTATTTTATTGGCGTTGGGGTGGTTTTCGGATCGGGGTAGACAAAACAAATGATGCGCGAGCCTTGCTTACTTGCTTCTTATGGTGGCGAGCCATGTTTCAGCCCAAAAGGTAATATGGCTGTGTGCCGAGGTAGGCAGCTACTTTATCAGACACTCTAAACGTGTATTAAACTGGAGAGAATACTTGTGATCGAAATGCCTTAAAAAAGTGACATTCATGCAAAGGGCTAACTGTCAGTTTCAACACGCTACATCATCTTGTGCCATACACTCATGCCTGCTCCTTGCTCGACGCAGCTCCGGGGTCGACTTTTGGTCCCGATCGCTTTTGCTTCTTGAAACATGCAAACTCGTTCTTACTCGCCTCCCTCAGCTTCTTAAGGATGCTCCTCATCTCAGGTAACTCGCTCTGCAACCTAGCACGAGCGTCATTATCCGTACGCCCATCCAGCTCCTGATAAATTTGGCTCTGCAGCTCCGAGGCCTTATCAGTCGTGTACTGGCTTAGCGTTTGGGCAACAAACTCTACGTCGAGGGTAGCCTGCATAAGAGCCTCGAGTGAGTAGCGGGGACGTTTGCGGAACGCGTCCAGTAGTTGGAGGGACGTTTGCTCGAGCAAGAATGACAATACTTGGGAGGTGAGTGAGGGTGCAGTGGTGGACACCTGGGAGTGCACGAGGACGAGGGCAAGGAGAGCTTCGTAGATGTAGGGTTTTGCGGTGGATGGGCGGGTATTCACTGGCGGTTCCCAGTCGGCGAGGGAGAGACCTGCAGATATGATGGCATGGAGGGTCTCGATGGATTGTTTGGTGTATGATTGGAAGAGCCGGGCGTCGATCTGGCCGAGGACGTCGCGGATGGTTTTGGATTCGTCGGTGAGTTTGACGGAGAAGGCATTCTCAAATTGCGAATTGAGGCTGGGGACGACTTGGGAGCGGAGGGCTTGGAGATTACTAAGAGTTAGGAGCATGCGAATGTTCTGTTGTCCGTGGTCAACAAAAGGAGGTGATTTACAGCGGGTGTGTGGTATTAGACTTACTCGGTCACCGGCGTCCAAGATACTCTTGCTGGGGATAGAATTAGGCACATATGCCGGTGAAGCGTCCTGCGAAACTTCCCACTCGTCGTCATTCTTCTTGAGCGCCCGTTCCGCATTCTCTACCATCCCACTCAGCGCCTTATACAACGTGGTGACGTATTGACTGCGAACCATCTGCAGTAGCTTTGTTGGCGGTGGTAGCACAATATTCCCTGCGCCAGGCTTCTCCATTGCTTCAGGAATGTACAGGATTTTCTGCATCCCAGACAACACAGCCCCCTCAAACGCGGCAAAGATTGCGGGCATGCGAGTGACATCGCCAGATTCCGCAGGACGCCGCCAATCCTCAACGTACTTGATATTTTCGGCATCACGATTCCATGCGGCGCAAAGAGCAGTGACGCAACGATCTCTGGACATACCAACAAGAGTCTTCAGAAGCTCAACAACCTGGCCGTCAGCAGAGGAGATAGGGCTGAGGCTGGCCATTTCAGCAGCAGCTGACCCAACCAGTGACAGCATTTTGGAGAGATACTCTACGCCACTGATGGAATTCGACCACGGCGGCCAGAACGCAAGCTTTTCCCACG